CAACATCACTCCTAAAAAACAATAGTTCTTTAATATAATTATCAAGTCATGGCTCACATTGTCAATTGTGCTGTTATGGTCATAGTTTTTCTGCTGAACTGGCACCCAAATGGGGTCCACAAATTGCCACTGGTTGATATACTTCTTACATCTTAATGTATAGTTCTATCTCTACCTGTGTGGTTTTATTTTCTTTGCAATTTGAAGAAACTGTGTTGTTAGTTTCCCAAAGTCTACATTTTGGTGACTGCATCACAATGGTAGTGTTTGACGTGTTCCTCTGTAATTCCTATAAATTGGTTATTCAATCTACAGGTTTGATGAGATTTAATCCTCCAGGATGAAGGTACACACTCCCATGCTCCCTGAGAAGATCTGCATTTGCCTTTGCTAAGCAGCTAACAGCAGCATTACCAGGCTGGGACCTCTACAAATTTAACTCATGACTTGAAGTGGTCTTGCTATCCTAGGTGCTGTGACTTTGGGCTGATACTCTGTGAGGGCCAATAGTGATTATAACGTCTCAGCTTTTTTTCCTGGTCTCTCCTTTTGCTTAGTGCCAAGGCAACATTCCTAGTCCTTCTGGAGGTAGGAAGGAGGACAAAATTATTTTATCCATCCCTATTCCCAGTAAGGATAAAGCCCAGTAGGGTGCGAGCTTTATGGGGTGGTCTCTTATTAGTTTCCAAGTTTGCTGGCCTTTGTTTTCTGTCCCTCCACTCCTAAACTTTGAAAACTGAAGCTCAAGGTGAATCAGGATCAGAGGCACCTTTTGCAAAAGTGTCTCTAAGTATTAATATTTTCAACCAAAATTTTTAGTTTCTCCAACTCTCCCAAGTGGGAGGGTCAGTCTGAGTTTCTAACTAAGAAACACCTATGAAATACAGATGCTCCTCAACATATGATGGGATTATGTCCCCAAAAAACAAAAATAAGTTGAAAATACTGACAGTCAAAAATGCATTTAATACACCTAACCTACTGAACATCGTAGCTTAGCCTAGGCTTATCTTAAACGCACTCAGAACACTTAGCACTGGCGTGGCTGCCTGGGAGGTGCAGCTCGCCACCACTGCCCGGCATCGAGGGAGAGTATTGAGCATGTCACTAGCCCGGGAAAAGACCAAAATTCAAAACTCGAAGTACGGTTTCTACCAAAGGCATATGGCATTCACACCATCATAAAATCGAAAAACCATAAGTTGGAAAAATCATAAGTTGTACCATCCCAAGTAGGAGACTGTCTGTACATATATTCTATATTAATAGGGCAGGCTGGTGTAGCAATGCCAGAAACATGCTTTGACTAATGTACTTCCTTCCGTGAGCACTGACTGAGCTAGGCCATGTCATTTAGTTTCTTTCCTAATTAAGGCTAGAAATGGATCATACACAGCAATCTTTCCAAATAAGCCTCCCCTCATGCTGTGGGCAGGACTTGTCCCAAGTCCAGTATTAGATGCTATTAATCCTTTTTGTTTTCCTTAGAGGGCAATCCAAATTTCTCAAAATTTCGTAAGTGAGAACAACATTCTAAAACCTCATTTTTAATAGAATTTCATTTGTTATACCACTGGCATAACAAAACACAATCTAGATACCTAAAGAAATGGTTAAAATCAAATAAAGGTTATTTATACATGTTTTAATAGCTTCTGCTGTAAAAGAATATTTTCATCTGATACATTTAAATCCAGAAGAAAGCAAGCACATTCAGTATGGATTGTTTTGTGCTATCTTGTGATAACTCCATTGCCCCATTTCTTCATCCCACTGTCTTACCTGCAGCTGTTTCTCTGTCTGACCAAGGAGAGAACTACGGATGGATCATGTACTCGGTCATTTCTCTACCCCCAAATAGTCATTCCTTACATTGAGGAATTTGTTTATATTTTGAAAATTCATTAATATTAAAATGCTAATGTTTCGGCCGGGCGTGGTGGCTCACGCCTGTAATCCTAGCACTTTGGGAGGCCGAGGCGGGCGGATTGCCCAAGGTCAGGAGTTCGAAACCAGCCTGAGCGAGACCCCGTCTCTACCAAAAATAGAAATAAATTAATTGACCAACTAAAAATATATATTCAAAAAAAAAAATTAGCCGGGGCATGGTGGCGGGCATGCCTGTAGTCCCAGCTACTCGGGAGGCTGAGGCAGTAGGATCGCTGAGCCGCGAGATTGAGGTTGCTGTGAGCGAGGCTGACGCCACGGCACCTCACTCTAGCCTGGCAACAAAGGATGACTTCTGTCTCAAAAAGTTAAAAAAAAAAAAAATGCTAATGTTTCATTAGCTATTAAAATTAAATAAGCCTCTAAGAAATGAAATTTTAATAAGTCAAGATTACCACAAGAAGTGTTCCAAAAGCTACGAAAGGCACAAAGATTGTATACACTTATATAGGGAGAAAAGCCATGAATTTAAAGTCCTTAATCTTTTTCCTACAAAAAGTCATTTAAAGATTTCAGGCAACAAAGTTCAAATTCACTACCTCCAAAGGAAATAACTACTCCCCCATCCCTTAATGCCTCCAGTTTGTTTTTGTTTTCGTTTTTACTGGCACAGTTCTTTCTTTATATGCAGTTTCTAGCTCTGAAGACATATGCATATTTATATCTTCCTACCCTGGTCTACTTAGCTTTAAATCACTTGCACCAAGTACTGAGCTTTTGCACACAGACATGATGAATAAATGTTTAAGAGGAAACAAAAGTCAATATGCAAATACATTAACTAAGCAGTATCATTAGAAATAACTTACATATGTAATCTAGTTGCCACAACTGAGTTATAAGATCAAAAGTGATCCCATTAGCAGTTAAGTCATCGACTGAAAGTCCATTTCAACAGCCATATCATTTGAATATTTAAAGTTAAAGCACATACAACTGTGATTTCCCTTTTATTATTCCTAGCACTTGGAAGCCATCAACAAAGATCTGTTGAAGTAATATATCAAGAACTAATTTTCGGCCAGGCCCGGTGGCTCACGCCTGTAATCCTAGCACTCTGGGAGGCCAAGGCAGGAGGATCGTTAGAGCTCAGGAGTTTAAGACCAGCCTGAGCAAGAGCAAGACCCATCTCCACTAAAAATAAAATTAACCGGGCATGGTGGTGCATGCCTGTAGTCCCAGCTACTTGGGAGGCTGAGGCAGGAGGATCACTTGAGCCCAGGAGTTTGAGGTTGCAGTGAGCTAGACTGACACCATGGCACTCTAGCCTAGGCAACAGAGCGAGACTCTGTCTTTAAAAAAATAAAAACTAATTTTCACAGTATTTGCATATAATGATCAAAAATTATGTGTCAGAGACTAATACTCACCCTCATACCCATTTCTCTTTCCTCCAAAAGAACACTTCACTCATATTTTAGCAGAACACATGGCAGTCTGAAATAAATAGTTTCTTAGCCTCCCCTGCAGCTAGACGTGACATGACTAAGTTCTGGTCAATAGGATGTAAGTAGAAATGACCTATGGCAGCTTCTAAAAATCATCTTTAAGACTGTGGGCACTTGCCCTTTGCTCCCTTTTCATTGTCCTTCCTCCAGTAGCACATAGAGGTGATGGTTAGAACTCTAGCCACCCACCCTGGCGTAGGAAAATGAGGGCCATACCCGGGGTATGGCAGAACGGTAAACTACACTAGATGCCCGAAAGCTTCGTGGAGAAGAGGATTCCCATCAGTCCTGGATTCTTCACCTCTTGGATTTTATATGAAGAGAGAAATAAACTTGTATCTTTTGCCATTGGTATTATGGGTTTTTCCAAAATACCAGCTTCCTTTGGATAAAGGAAGAAGGCAAATTCATAAGCAGCAGATTTTCAAAGACATATACTGTGAAGCCACATCTCTCTCAGAAAGGGATAACAGAATATTACCTCTTTATAAGTAACTCACTCTCTTATGACAGCTGCAGCCGCTCTATACTAGGAGTCGGAGAACAAGGTGTGAGACATACCACTGCTCCTAACTGGCAAACCAGCTAACTTCTCTACGACTATGTGGCTTTATTCATTAAACTGGGATAGCACCACCTATGTAATAAAATTCTCTTAAAATTTAAAATATAACGTATATGAAAGTATTCCATTGTGTAAACACTACTACACATAATTATTGACAAGAATAATTATAAGATAACTGCGCAAAAGCTCTGTCTCATACTATAACCTTAGTAAAGAATACTCAATAAATATTTGTTGAATAAATATTTTTAAGTCTTTGCTAAATGAATTATTCTGCTTTGGAGCTGAATAAAGTTCAAAGGTCCTTAATGTTATTTAAAATATTACTTGAGTCTCTAACAGACATAATTCTAAATTTTGATGCCAGTCAAAAGATACAGGCCGTGGCTCACATCTGTAATCCTAGCATTCTGGGAGGTTGAGGCGGGAGGACCGTTTGAGCTCAGGAGAGTTCGAGACCAGCCCAAGGAAGAGTGAGACCCCATTTCTACTAAAAAAATAGAAAGAAATTAGCTGGAAAACTAAAAACAAACAAATATATATATATAAAAATACATACATACATACATATACATACACACACACACACACACATATATATATATGTATATATATATATGTGTGTGTGTGTGTATATACAAAAAAAAAAATTATCCAGGCATGGTGGTGCATGCCTGTAGTCCCAGCTACTCAGGAGGCTGAGGCAGGAGGATCACTTGAACCCAGGAGTTTGAGGTTGTTGTAAGCTAGGCTGAACGCCATAGCACTCTAGCCTGGGCAAGAGAATGAGACTCTGTCTCAAAAAAAAAAAAAAGATGATGATGATACAGGGTGTGAAGAAAGAAACCATAGCTAATCCATTTTAACTGACTCCTATTTACTACAGCAAAATAATTTAAACTAGAAGAAAAGCTGTGGTACAGAAATAAAATTTTTATGATCATTCTCTAAAATTACAAAGTTACACATAAAAATATTTTTTAATACTTAAACCACTAACCCTACCACATCAAATGAATGATTTCCTCACACTGGACTGTGGCTAAAGTATTTTATTAAATTAAGTATGTAATTTGCAAATGGTTTCATAAGAAATTTTAAAAGCAAAGTTATAAAACATTTTTAATAAAAAAAGTACAGAGTTAACAGCAAAATTACAGTTTCTTTATAGTACAAATAAAAACATTTTGTTTCTGATATATTGTCTGAAAATTTTTAAATATTTTCTCCAACTGATAGCTGCAATATTGTATTTTAATCAGACGTCTCATGGTTAATTCAATCATTTATTAATAATAGATTCATCATTTAGACCATAAAAGTCAACTGCTCAACTTTAAGGAAAATAACACACTTTGTCATCATATAATGTGAAGTTATAAAAGGCTCTTCGGGATGTAGATGTGTTCTAGCCTTGTTTCTCTATTAAATTCTGTAAAGAAGCATTAAGTAATACTGTAAACTTGAATTACATTTTAAAAATAAGCACCATTAACATACATTCTACATAAACTTACTTTTACCTTTTGAATGACACTCTTTTGGCCACATAAACATTTAAATCTGTTTTCTTCACGTGTAAATAAAAATAAACAGTAATATTTAGCCACTACACAGAAAAATTATCAAATTTCACCTCACTGCACAATGAAAAAGCACTTTAAAAAAGCACTTGGAAGAAAACGGTACACATTATTTTTGTTTTTTACACATTTTGTCATTTTCTTAACTTGACAGCAATTAAAACATTGTCAGAGCAATTTCCTGAGTTTTAAAAGTTTCTAATTTCCAGCTCAGAAATAACCAATGTCACTATTATACGTGTCCTTTTTCTAAGCATACAAAACACTTATAAATTCAAAAAGAAAAAGGTCAAAATAAAGGACTAGAAACTATCCAGAAGAATAGTATAGTCTTTCCTTCTTAAAATGTGTTATAATATTAATACACAAGACACTTTAAAGTCACAATTTCTACTATATGTCTTATATTTAAAGGCCACAGAATTGTAAATAGCATGGAAATACTAACAAATTGAAGACACTTCAAAACTTGAAAATAATATAGAGATATGAACAGCCGATAAATGTAAGAAAATATGCTTCCATTTCTCACATTGGAATAAAGAGATGGACAGATTGAAAACACTATTAAGAGTCTCTCAGGTCCAACTACACATCCTCTGTGGTTTCCAGATTATAGTTCTCTCTCTCTCTCTCTCTTTTTTTGGAATGTTTTTACTAAAACCTTCCAAACAAGAGAAGTGCTGTGCTTTTAAAATATTAAGTTTACAAAGAGCATTCTAATGAGTCATGTATTGGCACAAACGTACAAGTTATGTAGCCCTTATCCAAAATGCTTGGGATCAGAAGTGTTTTACATTTCTGATTTTTTCAGGTTTTGGAATATTCGCATGACACTTACCAGTTTAGCATCCCTAATCTGAAAATCTGAAATCTCAAATGTTCCAATAAGCATATCCTTTGTGTGCCATGTCCATGCTCAAAAAGTTTCAGATTTTGGAGTATTAAGGATATTCAACCTGTACCAATATATGAAAAATTTAACAATCTCCAAACTATCTTTGATGTATAGGATTTAGAAATGGGCAAAAGGAGGAGGGATTATATAAAATATTCTTTCATAAGAATGTGTTGCTTAAACTATGCTAGCTAGTAGGTAGGAGGCAATTTGAAATTAAACTGCATTAAAATGCTCACACTTTGCCTGTATGCTTATAAATGATTAAGAAATACTGTTAAAGATTTACCAAAATAAAGCATAACATTAAAGTTGATACTAGATAAAACATAGCTCTTTTCCTTTGATTTCTGCCCGCAGAATACCACATCTCTAATTCATTTGACTGCTCCCTCATTAATCATAATACTATTGAAATAAGTCTAGCTAAAGTGCTGAAAAGTGATTTTTTTAAATCAAATGAGAAAATATAAAAACACAGAAAATGAGTATGCAGGTGCATACACTCCAATAACTGCAGGTTTTGGTATTGTTTTCCATATTCTTAAATCATATTAATTTATACATAAGAATATTTTATTTCATTAATTATTGAAAGAAATTGCTTTATTTTTAATGTATAGAACTGTTGTAGAGGTTACAAAAAGTGTGCTAAACTATGTGAAGAATGTGAATAATACTTCAATACTAATCACTAACCATTTCAAAATAATAAACACTTATTCTTATTTTTATGGAAATAAAACTCAGTAAGGCTCTTCGTTTAAAAGCATGCAATTAGGACATATAAAAACAAGTGTTTTTGAGTTTTATTTTCATTAAAATGTTTGCTCTTTTGGAAAACCATTCTGTATTTTAGGATTCTTTTCAGTACCAGCTCAAGCCTATAATTCTTTATTCAAATAATTTTTTAAGCTTAACAAAGATCAACATAATTGTTTGCTAAAATTATGTATGTTGAAAATATTCTCCATATCTGAAGTCAAATTTGTTTAAGCCACTGTCTGATATTGGAAAATTATACTTTACCAGATTAAACATGTGTAAAGGAGATTATAAACACACTAACCAGATTTATTAACTAAACAAACAATAGAAGTCAAGGAAAGTTTCCTTTCAGAAAGTTGGCTCTTTCAAAATAAAAGTAAAAATCGTTTAAATTCTAATGATTCCTTTCACTATTATACCCAAAATGTTTTCTACATTTGTTTTAATAAGATTTTGACCTACTGCAGTTTAGAAATTGCATCCTCAAACATAACTATTTAGAAATCCACAGTTCTAGAAGCAGTTTTAAAAGGCAGTGACAATTGATAGATATCTAACCATTTCTCCTTTTCTGAAAATTTTTCTGCCTATGGAAGGTATAAAACTGCAATGTAATCTCAGACCCAATTTTCCTCCCATAAAACGTACACATACAGAAGAACAGAACAAAAGGTAAGAGACCAAGATCTGTACAAAGCAGAAGAAAGTACAATATAGTGCCTTCCTTCCTGTAGGATATGGCAAAATGAAATGGTTTCATGTGTTTAGTTTTAAAAGCAAAAAGTATTCAAGTGTTTTTGTTAGATCTCCTTTCTTTATTACTACTACTACAACTTCTTTTTCTTCTTTTAATACAAGCCTTTGAAGGGCATGAACTAGATATCAAAGCACTTAAAATACCTCTCATAGAAACCTTTAGGACTTTACTAAATGTCAAACAACAAAGGTAATACAAAGGTAACATTCTCTCTGAGAAACAATCAGAGCACTTCAAACTTTAAAACTGCAGCTGATAATTTTTTCTTAGATTTTTGTAATCAATAAAAATCCTCTTTAATATTTTTAACAGGTAACATTATTTGGCATTTGATTCAGTAAAAAATTAAACTTCTCTTGAATTTTGAAAAACGTAATTTTTCGTGTCTCATAACAACATTTCCAATAAAACACATGTTTAGAGTAGAACTAGCTGAAGTACTGCAAATAAAACTAATTTTAACCTACAAACCTTCACACTTCTAAGTCAAGGACGTTTATTTTACTTTAGCATGACTTTCAAGCACCCTGGTTTAATTTCAGAGAACCTGTAGAAATGAAAAAAGAATTATTTTAAAAATAAAAATTTCAAACTGGCTAGGGAATATACTTTGTAATCAATTCCAAGTGCCTATGCTTAACATGATATTTACTATCAAAGTACTGTCCTTTATTAAGTCAATATCCAAGACCAATATCTACATTTATATGTTGCTTTTAATCTATTGTCAAAACAAACACAATCCGAAACCTGGAGATTATTCCTAACTTAGTAGTTGACATAATTTAAGCTTTTTTAAAACCTCACAAACCTGAATTATACCTTCATGAAAAAGAACATGCTGGATGAAGGATAAGATGGTGTCTACATTGCACAGTTTCTGTGCATCAAGAAAGCACCAAGAAGAAGTCTCTGATTAGCAGGTAAATCTGATCAATCTGGCTGTGCAATGCTTTCAACTCTTTCAGTGTAAAATTTCAAGGAACACTAGTCTCTAAAATAGATGATTAATCTTGTCAATATGATCCTGTTCTGGTCTAACTACTCCTTCTGTAAAAATAAACAAGAAATGTCACCTGTCTTCATGCTCGAATTAATACTACCACTTTCTATAATGCACCCAAGTAAGATATTACATGGCATAAACTAAATATGCTACACTAATTGAACTTGGAGGGGGGTACTGGATGCACATCCTGGGGTAATCTCTCCATCAAAAGATCTTTCATCTTTGACTTTTCTTGTCATTTTCTGTTACTGAATAATGATCACTTAATGAAAAAGGACATTTTGTGTTTGTCAGCAAATCATTAATGGCATTTAACTTATGAAAATATATATAAATTTATATTAACTGGAAAATGTCTGCAAAAAATGAAACACACCCAAATTACGACTATATTTCAGCAGAAGCTACCCAATTCCATCCAAAATCCACAAACTTATATTTCCTTTCAAAATACACACAGCAAGTAATAAACTATGATATGTGTAATCTATTTATCTCAGATAATATATTATCAAAGAAACACAAATATATTTACTTTCTTTTAGAATTTTAAATTTATCATAGAAAGTTTTATCAGATGATTATTGACAACAATCTTCTATTTCTGGTTTACCAAACAACATATCCAGCAGGGAAAGTTATATTATAATTTAAGCATAAACTTTTGACTGAAATTAGATGATTAAATTTAGTTAACTATTTTGACAGAGCATTCTGATCATGCTATTAGTGTTTACCAGCTGTATATGGGCAGCTGCCATTATCAATAACAGAAATCTACTCACCTGAAGCTATGGCTTGTGAGGTATTTAATGACGGCTGGCTTGATGCGAGCAACTCCTCCCTGGCTGTGGTTTCCTCTCCCCGTGATCACAGACAGATAGGGCTTACCACCATTCTGCTTAAATTCTGTTACAACAGGAATTAGAACAGTTAAATTCATTTATCTTACATTCTCAACAGAAAACAAATTCTAGATACTCAAACACATATGAAACTGTTTTCATGGGGATTTAGAGATTTATTACCTCAATAAGCCCCAAAATTAATGTTTTAAAATATGTTTTAAAACATATATAGCCTCAGTGCAATCTATCCATACAAAGTCTTCAGTGAGATTTCTTCCCCTATGGGGAAGGAGATTTCTGTGCACTACCAGTTCCCTCTGAAATAATTATAATGACAATAATAACATTAATGACACCTAATAATTAATATGCACATGGAGTCAGACACTGCTTTAAAGGGTATATTAAATAAGACTCTTTAGCTTGGTCAGATAGATCTGAAAAAGAAAAAAGAAAAAAATAAGAATCTTCACAACAACTCTATTAATTAAATACTCTGAAGCCAGTCAGCTTTAGTCTGAATCACAGCTCTGCCACTAAATGACTGTGTAACCATGGACAAGTTACTGAGCCTCTCTGCTTATCTCCCCATCAGAAAAATGGGATAATAATAGTAACTACTTTATAGACTATCCTCCAGAAATGTCTAGTAGCAAAACCACTAATTATAGCATAGCTTATAGTTTTACTGTTAAAGACAATCAATTATTAACATAAGAAACTCTTACTCATAATTCTTAAAATATCAAATGAACCTGAAGCCTCTTGAAAGAGTACAGTTACTATTTTAGATATGATCTTGTGAAAATCAAGTATATAAATCTTTAAAACTAGTAACAGCTATCATAGAATTTTTTTAAAAAACTGTTAATAATAAGAGTTGAATTAATGAATCTAATAAATTTTGTTCCTCATTCATAAATAGCTCAAGTTTTGATCTTTAGCATAAAATACACACACACAAAGCTGGGCACAGTGGCTCATGCCTGCAATACCAGGACTTTGGGAAACAAAGGTGGGAGGATCACTTGAGACCAGGAGTTCAAGACTAGCCTGGGCAACATAGCAAGACCCTATCTCTACAAAAAATTATAAAAACTAGCCAGGTATAGAGGCCACACCTATAGTCCCAGCTACTCAGGAAGCTGAGATGGGAGGATTACTTGAGCCCAAGCATTTGAGGTTACAGTGAGCTATGATCAGGCCACCGAACTCCAGCCTGGGTGACAGAGCAAGACTCTGTCTCTAAATATTTTTTTTTAAAGAAAATACACATATAAGTGTTGCATATTCTGCTCATTAAGGTGCCCTAAAACTCCAGCAGAACGTATCATATCTCTAGGGCAATATTTAGTCTGGAATTTTAAAATGATATGTTACCCTTACAGTTCTATTTCCTCTTCTTTAAGATCTCCATTTCTACTAATCCATACCTATTACTTCAAGCAATATGTTATTCAAAATTCAGCTCTCTCTGGATGCCAGCTTCACATGGTATTTGCTTGCTAAAAAGTTGTTGCATTATACACTCAAAATTTTGTACACTGTTTTTTATGTATGTTATATTACAAATAAAAGTTTACTTAAAAAAAAAAAACAAACCTCAATCTCTTAACTAACCATAATTCACTCTCATCACTCCTTCAATACTGTTCCCCTTACCAGTTAGGTCAGTCATTTATACCACCTCACCTTTCAATAGTATACTTATTACTCTGAAAATGTTCTCCAGTTGATTGACATGCCTCAAAATGAAGTAAGAGCTCAAAGGATATTTGTTATATAAGTTAATGTACAGGTTTAGTTTCCCAAATTACAGGCTAATCTCATTATCCCCTTTGAACGAACTGTTTAACTCATTTTTAAGCACATTCCAGATTTCTTATCATTTCAACTACAAACATTTCAGTATGTAACTCAAAAGAGTTAAGGATGCCTTTAAAAAACATTAACCACAATGTCACATCATCTGACAAAAATTAACAATAGTTCCTTAATACTATCAGTTTCTAAAAATTTCTCCCAATTATCTCAAAAATATGTTTTTACAGTTATTTGTTTTAATGAGGGTTGAATTAAGTTCATACACTGTATTTGACTGATATATTTCTCAAGTAACTTTAATCTAAAGGTTTTTCCTTGTGTTTTTCTTTATAATTTATTGAAAAAAAATTGGATCATTTACCCTAGATTTTCAGAGGCTGGATTTTGCTGATTGTTTCCCCATGGTGTTGTTTCACATGTTGCTCTGTCCCCTGTAAATCCCTATAAAGTAGTAGTCAGTTCTGCTTCTGGTGTGATTGGGGGCAAAAATACTCCATAGACAGTAGTGTGTTGGTGTATATTTCAATAGAAGGGACATGAGGTCCAGATGTCTCTATTACTTTTATTCATCCCCAATTTTGACAATCTTTTCATCTTATGATGAAAAACAATGCTGGGAAGAGCCAAATTTTCCACTGGATGCACTTCTATTCAACAATACCACCATCTGGTGGTGACTGACAGTAACTACACAGGTGGCAGCATGCACTAGATGAGCCTTGGTGTCCAGAAAGATTTGCACCTTGGGTAGTTGAGTCACCTTGGGCAAGTTATTTAACTTTTTTTTTCTTGCAGGTTTTTTTTAAATTGAGATATTAATAAAATTCACATAACATGAAACTCACCATTTAAAAATGTACAATTCAGTGGTTTTTAAGTATATTTACAATGTTGTACAACTTACACCACTAATTCCAGAACATTCCATCATTTCACAAAGCAATCCTGTGCTTCTTAGCAGTCACTCCCCATACATTTCCCATTCCAGCCCTAGAAACCACTAATCTGTCTAAGGATTTATATATTTAAAACATTCCATAAAAATGAAACAATACAATATGTGGCATTTTTTATATGGCTTCTTTCACATAGCACACTGTTTACAAGGTTCATCCATGTTGTAGCATTTCTCTTCGTGACTGAATAAAATTCCCTTTTATGGATCTATCACATTTGGCTTATCCATTCATCAGTTGATGGACATTTGGGTTGTTTCTACTTCTGGGCTGTTACAAATATTCATGTACTAGTTTTTATGAAGACAAATTGTATTTTAGTTTCTAGGGTACATGCCTATGAACAGAACTGCTAGGTCTTGGTAATTCTACGGTTTACCCTTTCAAGAAACTGCTGAATTTTCCACAGCTGGTGTGCCATTTAACATTTCCACCAGCAATATGTGAGGGTTCCAGTTTATTCACATCCTTATTAACACTGATTATTTTCCATTCTACTAAACTTTAAAGTTTTCCTCATCTATAAAATGAGAGGAGATAGTATGGTGGTTCCCCCCAAAAATTAAAAATAGAACTACCAATCTATGGTAGGGATCTAGCAATCCCATTTCTGGGTATATATCAAAAAGAAATGAAATCACTGTCTCAGAAAGATATCTGCACCGCTATGTTCATGGCAGCATTATTCACAATAGTCAAGACATGAAAACAACCTAAATGTCCACCAGCAGATGAACTGATAAAGAAAATGTGATATATACACAGAGGAATATTATTCAACAATAAAAAAGAAAAAATCCTGCCATTTGCAATAACACAGATGCACCTGGAGGGCATTATGTTAAGTGAAATAAGACAGATGGAAAAAGACAAATAACGTATGATCTCACTTATGTGTGGAATTGAAAAAAGTCAAACTCATAGAAATAGAATAGAACGGGAGTTACCAGGGAGTGGGGGAAATGAGGAGATGTTACTCAAAAGGTACAAACTTTCAGTTATAAGAAGAATAAGTTCTGGGGATCTAATGTGCAACATGGTGACTATGCTTGCTACTACTACACTCTGGCCAAGCACAATGGTTTGTGCTTGTAGTCCCAGCTACTTGAGAGGCTAAGGATAACTTGAGCCCAGGAGTTCAAGACCAGCCTGGGCAACACAATGAGACCTTGTCTCTATTAAAAATATATAAAAAATAATAATTATACCATACTGAATACCTGAAATTTGTTACCAGAGTAGATCAAAAGTGTTCACAATGCACACACAAAGTGGAAACTATGAGGTGATGGATGTGATAAGGTGATTCGCTGTGATAATCATTTCACAATGTATTTATCAAGTCATGTTGCACACCTTAAATATATACAATTTTATTTGTCAAAAAAAAAGAGACATACCTACCCTTTTTTTTTTGAGACAGAGTCTCGCTTGTTAACCAGGCTAGAGTGAGTGCCGTGGCGTCAGCCTAGCTCACAGCAACCTCAAACTCCTGGGCTCAAGCAATCCTTCTGCCTCAGCCTCCCGAGTAGCTGGGACTACAGGCATGTGCCACCATGCCCGGCTAATTTTCTATATATATATTAGTTGGCCAATTAATTTCTTTCTATTTATAGTAGAGACGGGGTCTTGCTCTTGCTTAGGCTGGTTTCGAACTCCTGACCTCGAGCAATCCGCCCGCCTCAGCCTCCCAGAGTGCTAGGATTACAGGCGTGAGCCACCGCGCCCGGCTCATACCTACCCTTATTCAGTCATTCATCCAAATTTTTTTTGAGTGTTGAACAAAAAGCACTATACACAATGATTCAAGAATTATCTTGGCTCAATTCTTGGCCAAAAAAACAAACATTTAACAATCAATTATACAAAAGCTTTTTATAAACACTATGGTAAGCAGGAATACTATGAGAAGCTATTAACAAGAAGCCCAACTAGTGTTAGAATCAAGAATGACAGTGTAGCTAAACATACAGAAAAGAAGGCAGAGCAAAACACGAGACTGGAGAGGCAGGCAAGGAACATACTATGTAGGGATTCTGGACTTCATCCTAAATTCAACCTGTATTTTCTTATCATAATGCTAATTACTTATGTTCACTGTCATCTACGCCACTAGATGGTAAACTCCATAGAGACAGGGATTGTGTATCTTTTTCACTGCCTTATCCTTGATGCCTAGAATACAGAAGATAACCAAGTATTTATTGAGTAAATGGTTATTAATCCATCCTCTACAGAGACTATCTCTTATAATATTTCTATATACTTGAAGAGTTTTTCTTTTCTCTAGATTAAATGTGTTAAATTGCTCTTAAATTTTCTCTTTTTTAATCTTTACTGCTGTTTCTAGATTTTCTTCAAGATTTCCAAAATTCAATTTGAAAACTACAGGAGAATTTGCTCCATTATCTGAGAATGTCAGCTAATATCATATAGAATGAACACAAATTATAAAATACAATAAGTGAGTCAGCCAAGCATCATTGATGAATGCTAAAACCATTAGGTGAAATACTATAGAGCAACAATTATGCACAGTGCCACAAAGTATCAACCACCAAAGATTACTAATTAATTACAAAGGGGGAAAAGTACATTTAAACAGAAAAATCTGATAGAGTCCTACTGCAGCTAAGAAATCAAACTTTACATTACTAATAATGGGACAAACTGACCATATATGTCTCTTGATGTATTCACCAAGGATAGCTTACCATCACCTAAGTAGTATTTTTACCAAAAAACAAAATTATTTTTTTTGAGACAGAGTCTCACTCTGTTGCCTGGGCTAGAGTGCTGTAGCATCAGTCTAGCTCACAGCAACCTCAAACTCCTGGGCTCAAGCAATCCTTCTGCCTCAGCCTCCCGAGTAGCTGGGACTACAGGCATGCGCCACCATGCCCGGCTAATTTTTTCTATTTATTTTTAGTTGTACAGCTAATTTCTTTCTTTCTTTCTTTTTTTTTTTTAGTAGAGACATGGTCTCACTCTTGATCAGGCTGGTCTTGAACTCCTGAGCTCAAACGATTCACCTGCCTCAGCCTCCCAGAGTACTAGGATTACAGGGGTGAGCCACTGTGCCTGGCCCCCCAAAAATTTTTAACTTGAATCTAATCATAAGGAAACAATCAGGCAAATTAATATTGTCTGCCAAATAACTGTCTTGGAGTCTTCAAAAAATGTCGACAACATGGATCATAAAAAATGGGCAAGGGAACTAATCTATATCACAGGAAACCACACAGACATAGGACAGTCACCTAAAACATATGATGCTTGATTGTATCCTGGACTGAAGGGAAAAAAGGCACAGCTATATAGGACATTATCCATATAAGTGGAGAAATCTGAATATGGGCCTATATATTGGATAATATTATTCTATCAATGTTACATGTCCTAAAAGCGACAATGACATTATGGCTATGTCAGAGAATGAATTTGTTTTTAAGAGAGATGCATGCCAAGGTATTTAGAGGTAAAACACCACAAAGTCTATAACTTATTTTCTTTTTTTTTCTTCCTGTTGGAAAATTTTTTACTGAAAGTAATTTTTTTTTACAATTATAAAAGTATAATATTCATTGTAAAAATTTGGAAAATATAGAAAAAGCTGAAGAAAATTATAACTTATTTTCAAATGGTTCAGCAAAAAACAATTTTAGAGATTAAGACATTAACAACTGTCCAATCTAGGTTAAGGATATATGGGTGTTCATTGTATAAGTCTCAACTTTTCTGTAGGTTTTTAGCTTACTCAATATAAAAATTTAGGAAAAAGGATAGTGATAAGAGTACACATGCTGATATGCAAAAGTAAAGCTCACTGCAACATTATAACTAAGTTTCCATCAAGACAGGAATGGATACATTATGATGCATTCACAGAATATTATATGCAGTTATAGTCCACCAGGATGAGTAAAGCCATCAAGATAAGTAGTACACCCTGAAAACTATATTTGGTGATAATAAAGTAAGTGGCTTGGCTAATGATATAATGTGACACCATGTACATTTTCTTAAAACTCACAAAGGGAATACCATAAATATGAACACATGCACATATAGTAAAGGTATAAAAAATGGACAGAAAAGATGTAAATCAAATTTGCAGGATGGTAATTTCCATTAGAAAGGGAGAGAAGAAAGAATAAAGGATTGACAAGGAATACAAAGGGAAGAGTAAACATAAATGAAAAACATATGGCAAAATGTTATCACTTGTTACTTGGATTCACTGGTGTATAGGTGTTTATAGTATTACTCTAAAACCTTTTCAATATGGTTACAATATTTTATGATAAACATATGAATTTTCAACCTTACATATCAATCTTAATCAACTATTTAATTAATATAGGTGATACATATCAAATTGGTAAACCTATATATAGTAAAAAGGCTTCTAAAATGTATATAAACCAATAATCAGAATAATATTGCTATCAGTGACAGGGCAGGGCTGTGGAGTCATAAGGTAATATAGCTGAGCTCTAGCATCTCCACAATAAAATAGAAGACTAAGAGAAAGCTAAGGTGAGAATTCAAAAATACGCTAGTAGTGATGAAAGGAGATGACAGATAGTATCACAGTCAGAGGTAACTAGAACAGATTGAGCTTTTCTTTTTCTTTTTCTTTTTTTTTTTTTTTTTGAGACAGAGTCTCGCTTTGTTGTCCAGGCTAGAGTGAGTGCCGTGGCATCAGCCTAGCTCACAGCAACCTCAAACTCCTGGGCTCAAGCGATCCTACTGCCTCAGCCTCCCGAGTAGCTGGGACTACAGGCATGCGCCACCATGCCCGGCTAATTTTTTTATATATATATATATATCAGTTGGCCAATTAATTTCTTTCTATTTATAGTAGAGACGAGGTCTCACTCTTGCTCAGGCTGGTTTTGAACTCCTGACCTCGAGCAATCCGCCCGCCTCGGCCTCCCAGAGAGCTAGGATTACAGGCGTGAGCCACCGCGCCCGGCCCAGATTGAGCTTTTCTAATAAGTACTACCATCTGATGATGAAAAGGAATAAGATGCTAAACCAACATGATATTTTAATGTGAAGTACATAATATTGAATGGAGGCATATAAAAGTTCCTCATTCTAAGCCCTGGGAAGAGGTAGAACTTAGATATGAGGCAAGTGGTCTTTCCTACTGGCCTGCAAAAATAAGACACGTGGAGAAAGAAAGGGGTGCCACCACACCAGACTCAGAAATCCTGCCTTCTGTGATGGTTCTGCAATAATCCTACTCCCTTATTTACTTCTGTATTTTATTAAACATCTATTGAACAACTGATATCTAATAAATATCTATTAATAAATGTCTATTTGACAAAGATAATACGTATTTCTTAAAGTTCTCATTTATAAGTCACACAGGATTCTCAGATTACACTATGCCATCCCTTTATTAAACACAAAAGAGGAGTACAAATAAATGAAACAGGGAAAAAAAAAAAAAGAAAAAAACGTTAATGGTCTTGCTAATGAGGATTCTTTCCTAAGATTCTTTTTTTTTTTTCTTTTTTAACAGAGAGGGTCCACTATTGTTGCCTAGGCTGGAGTACAATGGAGTGATCATAGCTCACTAGGTCTAAGTGATCCTGCCACCTCAGCCTCCTGAGTTGCTGAAACTACAGGCATGTACCACCATGTCCAGCTAATTTTATTTTTTGTGGAGATGGGGCCTTGCTACGTTGCCCAGGCTAGAAGGTTTTCTTGAAGAATGACTAATGCAAACATCTACAAATGTGGCCCAGATATTCTCAGCCTATATATTCAGACTCTTCTGAATTTGCAAGTTACGCCGATATAAGCAAAAATATATATTCTATTGAAATTTGTCATTACCATTAATCCTACCTTCAGTTTTCTGCTGTAAAACTGTCATCAATTGTTCTATAGCTTCATCCACATGCAGCCCATGGAGGTCTAAAACATTCTGTGGCAGCAGCGAGGCATTGACTTTCTCAAAGATCTCCACAGCAGCAAGGTGATTGGCTTCTTTCATCTTCTGCTCATGAAGACTACCCTTTAATTATAAACATATCCCCAATGGACACTTTAGATATTTGCTACTTAGGTGATGAAGAAATTAATATTGCCCCAAGTAAAAGGCAGAAGAAAAAAGGAACCATAAATCTCAAATCTTAAATAATGCAATGAGCTAATATACAAGAATGTATCAAAATTTAGACAAATTTCAGTGAATTAATAATGTAGTTCTAAAATTACTGAATCTTTGTTTCTAACATTTTCTGAACCAAAAATCATAAAAGAGGGAAACTTAACTAAACACCACCCATCTATGATGGTTAATTTTAGGAGTCAACTTGACTGGACTGAGGGATGCCTACAGTGGGTGAAGCACTGCTTCTGGGTGTGCCTGTGTGGCTGTTTCCAGAGGAGACTGATGTGCGAGCCAGTGGACAGAGAGGAAGACCTGCCCTCACTGTCGCAAGCACCATGCAACTGACTGGAGGACCATCTGGGACAAACAGGCAGAAGAAGGGAGATGGCTCCCTCTCTGCTTTCTCTCCCTTCCAGAGCAGGAAGTTGTTTCTCTTCCTATCTTTGGACATTAGACTCCAGGTTCTTCAGCTTTTGTACTCTGGACTTGGGCCTTCAGCCTCAGACTAGGGGCTGCACTGCCAGGTTCCCTGGTTCCGAGGCTCTTGACGGAATAAGCCATGCTACCAGCTTCTTTGGTTCTTCAGCCTACAGACAGCCTATCATAGGACTTCTGCACCTCTGTGATCATGTGAGCAATTTCCCCTAATAAATCCCCTTTCACATATCCTACTGGTTCTATCTCTTTGGAGAATTCTGACTAATACACCATCTCAAGAAGGAACTTACTGGCTTATTATTTGTGTATCCTTTGATAGTCCTGGGTCTTGTCTTGGCATTACCTTTCAACATCTTGTAATTACCCTTAAAACCATCCCCCAAGATCTGCTGTTAGGGCTATACCAGTTTGATACCCTTCTTTGCTCCATCATGAAGAAGTAAGCCATATGGAACCACAAAAATAAAAAGTGAATCAAGCAGGTATTTTTTTAATAACACCATGTCAAATAATATGCCTAGGTAAAAATTTTACTTCCCTGAAAAATATTAATGTCATTTTCTTTTTCTGCCTGTAAAAGTGATTACTAAAAAAGTGATAAAAGTGATAGAAGTAACAGTGATAGATAGAAGTAATTAGTGATAAAAGTAATCACTAAAAGTGATTACTAAAAATTCAAACATGACAGAAAGCACAAAACCCTTGTAATCCTAGCCTGAGATGACCAATGTTAACTCTGCTGCCTTTCCTCAAAAACTTGCATCCGTTTAGAAGTATTAATAGTACTACATGAAAGACTCTAACCTAAAAGAAAATAGGACTGTTAGAATAAACTCTAATTTATGGAAGCTGTAAATGTAAAAGCAATCACAGAAACTGAGCATTTTAAAGGAGATGAAATTCTCAGAACAATACACTTCTTAGGTATTAGGATACTTTACATAATTTCTGCATTCCCCAGAATAACTTAATCTTGTCACAATATAGATGTTATCTGCTCCAAGATTATTTAGATATTTTAACTGACAAACAAAATATCATAATCATCTTTCCATTTACCTGTTGGGCGTAAAAGGTGGCAACATTTTTCTTCCCCATCCGATAAGCTTCTTTTGCCTTACTGTAGCATTCTATCCTCTTCTGTTGGTGCAGGAAAGCCTCTGCCCTATAGTCGTCATATTCTGGGTACTCGAAATCCTGAAAAGATGGTTCGCTTGGTGTATCTTCAGACTCTTTTGATTTCTTTGCCTATAAGATGTTACACAATAAGCAATCACAAAGAAAGTAAAAAACGAATGCCTGACCTTCAGAAAATGCATATGAAAACCAGGCTCTCCTATTTTTCATCTTTCTTCTCAAAGAATAGATTCTCCCCAGTGTCTATCTAAGTCAAGCACTTAACGACTATCATTAACTTGTTTTGCCATTAAGGTTACCCCTTTTTTAACCACACATCTCAGGAGATGTCAAGAGTTCTCTAAAATTATCAAAATATAATTAGGTCAAAATCAAGTCAAAAGACAGAATATAAGATATTCAAAGAATAAAACTCATTTATCCAATGCAAAATTTCCAATTTTTAGTTGGTAAATCTATTCAAAGGTTCAGTCATTAAAGGTAATAAAGGCGTTTTTTAAGTTCATATATTTTTTAAAAAACAATCAATAAAATAATTGAATAATCTTCTCTTTAAACACAAAGGCTGGGCCGAGCAAGGGGGCTCATGCCTGTAATCCTAGCACTCTGGGAGGCCGAGGTGGGAGGACTGCTTGAGCTCAGAAGCTCAAGACCAGCCTGAGTAAGAGCAAGACCCTCATCTCTACTAAAAATAGAAAAAATTAGCCAGGCAACTAAAAACAGAAACAAAAAATTAGCCAGGTGTGGTGGTGAGCACCTATAGTCTCAGTTACTTGGGAGGCTGAGGCAAGAGGATCACTTGAGTCCAGGAGTTTGAGGTTGCTGTGAGCTAGGCTGACACCATGGCACTCTAGCCCGGGCAAGACTCTGTCTCAAAAAACAAAAACCAAAAAAACACAAGGGCTGCCAGGCGTGGTGGTGTGTGCCCATAATCCTAGCTACCCAGGAGGCTGAGGGGGGAGGGTCACTTGAGCCAAGGAGTTGAAGGCTGTAGTGAGCAATAATCACGCCATCGCACTCTATCCTGCACAACAGAGCAAGACCCTATCTTTTTAAAAAAAAACAAAAAAGGCCCCAAGGGCATGTGGCATGATCATGCCTGACAGTAATCAGCTAACAGGGACAGTTTCAATCAGCTAACTACCAGCTACTGTGATTATGTTGACTATTACATAATTTCAATGACCTTTAAAAAAATTATCTGTCATGTTAATTATCATCCAAAACAGACTTTTACAGAAGCAAAAGTAACTCTAATTTAAATCACAAGATAATAAAAATAATAATTATGCAACTTTGATCTCCAAATAGGAAAATTGCATTTTTGAACAGTATTTTCAGACTGTTCATCCAGATATCTCTAGAATATCAAAAGCCAAGTTAAAAAAAGACATATAATGACTTCCATATTCAATTTGACTTTTCACTTATCCCTTTCTACAAAGTCTTAGTTACAAAGAACTACCTGCAAACAGCAATCTGTCCCTTAGAGATTGTCACAAGGAGAAAAATTTAATTAGCATGATTTAAGTTGATTTTCTTAAAAGCTTAAAAGAATCCCAACTATTAGGTACCATACCTAGAAATGTATAAACTTTTAAGATCAAAACAAGAACAAAAAATTTCAATATTTTAAACAAATTATGCTTTTCTGATATAATTAAAAATAGTGTAGATTTTCTGTCAAATTTCAAAAAGCTGAAAATCATTTAATTAGAAATATTATCAAGAATTATAATACATTCTATAATATAATCTTCAATGATATATTGATTTAAATTTTTATCTAATATTTAATATATATTAAGTACTATGTTAAAATTATAGGTATTATATAATATAGAATTATTAATTAATATTTTGAAATTTCCTATCTATGAAGAGTTCAGAAGTCAAGAAAAGTTGGGGGAAAACTGGCCTATTAGTAGGTGGTTAAACAATTTCTTCATTCATTATATTTTGCTTACTTATCCCCTAGAACTCTAGAGGCTTCAAAGAATTAAAGAAAGGAAAAAAGATATCACCATACCCCTAACTCATTACCAGAGCCTAAACCTATAAATCTGTTGATCTGTTGCTTTATTTTATTTATTTATTTTTTCTTTTTATTTATTCTTTTTTTGAGGCAGAGTCTCACTCTGTTGCCTGATCTAGAGTGCTGTGGTGTCAGCCTCGCTCACAGCAACCTCAAACTCCTAGGCTCAAGCAATCCTCCTGCCTCAGCCTCCTGAGTAGCTGGGACTACAGGCATGCGCCACCATGCCTGGCTAATTTTTCTATATATTTTTAGTTGGCCAATTAATTTCTTTCTATTTTTAGTAGAGACAGGGTCTCACTCTTGCTCAGGCTGGTCTTAAACTCCTGACCTTAAGTGATCCTCCCACCTCAGCCTCCCAAAATGCTAGGAATACAGGTGTGAGCCACCACGCCTGGCCTATTCATTTGTTTCTGCAACCCAGTATATTTTATGAAAAAACACAAGATGTCTCTTCTATAAGAATATTCATAGAAACTAATCCTGATGTCACTCTTACCAGTGCTTAATCACAAGCTTCCTTATATTAATGTTTAAATATTCTAGGTGTAAGTGGCTTACTTCCCTAATAAAATCAAAGACTGGGGGGGGGGTAATAAAAATACTTTCTCTGGGTTTTGAGACCCCCACAGTGCCTAACACTATTGAACATAATAAATATTTCATAGCATCTCTGTTGGTGTTCGTACTAAAAAAGGCAAATTATATCTGATTCTCTGGCAAGAGACCTTAATTTCTTTTTTTTTTAACAGTATATAATGAAATATACTTTGTCAAATAGTCACTCTCTTTTAAAATACAATTGAGATGTTTTTATATTTTTATAAATATAAATGTTGTTATATTAATTTCATAGTGACATGGCTTACTATTACTTCATTTACAAGAGTCAAGTGAAATATTTGCCTCCTAGGAATTTATCTATATTCTCTTGAAAGCATGATGCACTATAATACCAAAATTTCCTATGGTAACAAACCTGTAAAATTTAATAAAGGCTAAAGAAAACATAGTTAAATTAATAAAACAGAATTTTTTTTTTTTTTGAGACAGAGTCTCACTTTGTTGCCCAGGCTAGAGTGAGTGCCATGGCGTCAGCCTGGCTCACAGCAACCTCAATCTCCGAGGCTCAGTGATCCTACTGCCTCAGCCTCCCGAGTAGCTGGACTACAGCATCGCCACTATGCCCGCTAATTTTTTTTATATTATTTTTAGTTGTCATTAATTATATTCTTTTTGGTAGAGACAGGGTCTCGCACAGGCTGGTTTTGAACTCCCTGACCTTGAGCAATCCGCCCGCCTCGGCCTCCCAAAGTGCTAGGATTACAGGCAATAAAACAGAACTTTAACTACAGTTTGTTGAAAACAGACAAACCAAAATGTCACTGGCACCATGACTCCCCTTCGTAGTGTGACCCCTTAGCATCCTGGGATAGCAAAGAGACAGGTTATCCTGCTCACCAATCCTAAAAGACTTTTTATCAGTTTTATAATACCCATCTACATTTTGTGGGAAAGGCTAAGAATAAGAATCACCAGAATAATTTAAAGTTTACATTTTGGCCAAGGTTTACACAACTCACAAAAAAAATTTTGTTTTACAACATTTTCCAATCATCTCCCCTTTGAGCAAGCGCACCTTCTCCTCATCACCTTCCCTTATCACCACAATGACCCACCATGCCTTGTATATCATCAGAAGAGAGAAGTAATCTTCTTTGCCAACTTGGCTTAGAAGGTCTCATAATCATCTCCCACATTATCTGCATCTCATATTGCATCTATCCATCTGTGGTACCATATTCTCCAGCTGGACAAAGGCATCAGTGGTAGCACAAACAGATAACATGAAAACCTAAATTACCTGAGTCCTACATATCAACTGACTGAGTGAAACATTCAAAGAAAAAAGGGAGCAACTTTTCCCTGAGTGGTTTTATTAATAAGAAGAGCAGACGATAAAGTTCTGTAAAAAGTCTAATGCTGTTGTAAGATTAATATATAAAATCAATTATATTTCTATGCATTTGCAATAAATAACCCAAAAATAAACAATTCCATTTATAACATCAAAAAAGACAATTACAAAGATGTGGAGAGCTAGGAGGATCAAGATGGTGGACGAGAAACACCGCCAGAAAGAGTGTCTCTGCAGAAAAGACAGATTCTAGCAGAAATTAGAAAAGAGAAGCAAGAAGGCGAGCATACAGCAGACGAGGGCCGGAAGGAGGGGTACCTGAGACCCCGGAGACTCCACGGGAGGAGGCTGCGGAGGAGAACTGGAAGCTGAGACCGCCGGAGCAGCCAGGGGACCAGCAGGAAGGGTAGGTGGATAAATCACCTTTCCCCTCCCCTGCATCTGGGACTGCTGGTAGCTCCCCAGCGGGTGGAGAGAAATGCGGACACCAGCCCAGATACGGCTGCCGCCAGTGAGCAGTGAGCCTGTAGCGGACCCGGCACCAGGCTCCCAACTCCCTCCCGGCACCTCCCTGTGCACAGACCCGAGCCCCGCGGCAGGCGCCATATTGCCTCCTTCTCCCCTCCGCCGACCCTACCTGCGGCTGCCCAGAGAGACAATACAGCCACCAGCCGGAGGCACCTCCAGGGAACGGGACCTTCCCTTTTGGGACCCCACAGCTGACTAAGGGGAACCCAGACTGTGAGCTCCCTACCCGCCAGCCCTCCCAGGTGCTGCTGGCA